TACAACTATTGTCACCACCCATCTCCAGGACTTTTTCTACCCCAAACAGAAACTGTACTAAGCAGTAACTCCCCAGCCCCTGGTAGCCAGTGTTGTACTTGGTCTCTGTGAATTTACCTTGTAAAAGTGGAATCATGCAATATTTGTCCTCTTGTGACCAGCTTCTTTCACTATTAGCATAATGTCTCCAAGGTTCATCCCTGTTATAGCCTCTATCAGAATTTCATTTCTTCTTAGGACTGAATGTTCTGTTTTATGTACCACATTTCATTTATCCATTCATCAGTGGACATTGGGGTTGTTTCCACCTGCTGCCTATTGTGAATAATGATTCTGTGAACATGGATGTACACATACCTGTTCAAGTCCCTACTTTCAATTCTTTGGTTGAGTCTCTCAGTCAGATGATAATTCTATGTTTAATTTTTTTAAGGAATCGCCATACAGTGTGACAGCAGCTGTGCCATTTTACATTCCCAGTAGCAGAGCACAAGGGAATGGGTTCATACATGTGAAAAAGAGATGGTAGCTTTGCTCTGGCATCTCAGAACAATCTGAAAGCCTCTGCATTTGCAGTCAAAAAAAAAAAGTCCCTATTAACTTTTTAAAAGGAATTTTATGAAATCTATTTTGGTTTTTAATTCTTGATTTTTTTTTTTTTTTTGAAGACTTAGTATTAGCAATTCTAACATGAAAATGATGAAGGAAGTCCTTGAAGGAAAGACCACACACCCACAGCTTGCAGGGCCCATTCAGTAACTAGAAATCAAGAAAGCACAGTGGGGTCAGGAAGACCAGGGATGCACGAAGAGGGTCTCTTAGCTGACCTGTGCGCTGCTGAGCCCATTAAATTGAGTAAATAACTTGAGTGAAAACAAGAAAGGGCAGCAATGAGGACAGAAAAGAGAACTCAAACAGGGCACCTTTTACATGATGAACAAAGAAATGGAGGTCACAGCTTGTAAAGAGGCCATTGGAATGTTGCTTGATTTGTAAATATTAGGGACATGAAATTTCAGGGAAAACAAAGCAAAGCCTGTCAGAAACGGTTTTAAATAAATAAACCCAAGCACGAAAACCTAAATCAACTACTGGGTTTGCAGGCGAGGAGGGAACAGCTATGGAGGATTAAAATATTTGTGTGAGGAAGATGGCTATGTGTGTAGAAAGTCAAAAACATTGTACTCTGCCTTATGTTATAGTTACCTTACATTTTAAACACTAGATATTTACTAGCAGAGAGAAGCTTCCCTTTGATTTAAGGCATGGTTGTATAAAGAGAAGAGATAGCTGGTTCACTCAGCAGCTGAACAAATGTTTCTTAAATGCCTATTGACCTTCCAGGTTCTAGACTGGAGAGTAGGGGTCATGGAGGTGACCACAGTGGGGCCTGCCTTGAGGGACTTGTAGTTGTGGAAGGAGAGGTGTACAGATCAATGAGCTAGACCTCCTCAGTACAACGAGGGAGATGAAGCACCAGGGTAATACGTGCATGGAAGAAGCATAGCCAAATGGTTCTGGCTCTGGTATCCAGAAACTCCTGGGGGGGGGGGGGGCGCTATCCTTCCAAAACAGCAAGTAAGACTGGGGTGGTGTAGAACCTCTTTCTAGGAGGAGGGTCCAGCATGAGCAAAGGTGAAGGAAGTGTGAGAGTCTGATTTGGTGGGGAAGGAGAACAGAAGGTACTGGCAGCTACCAGCAAATCAGTGGCATTTGTAGGCTGTGAATTGCAAGGCAAGAAGCAGCCAGGGATCATACTGGAGAAAAAGATCAAAGCTGTACATTGATCATCTAATGTCCAAATCTATCCCATGTTAATCTTTCATCTCCCTTCACAAACAGACCTTTTTTTAAATCATGATTTTTAACATACTGAATATTCATTGCAAATAGGCCATTCTTTGGAGATGGAGAAGCTGATTTGTATTAACAGTAATTAACCTCTTACAGATTTGGCTACTAAATTCTCTTTCTCCCACTTTGAATTGGGCATTGTGATTGGTTCTCCAGCATCTATTCTTCCCCCGCCTTCTCGAATAACAGCAATGTGGTTTGAGGAATTGACTTTAGTGAAGGGTCGCCGGGTCTAAGGATAACCCAATCTCCACTGCCAGCATTTTAGTTTATTAATGAGTGTGTGATTCACTTTGGACTGATGAGGAAAAAATAAAAGCTTGGAGGAGGATTAGGGGAAAGAGAACAATGTCACTATTGCTAGATGAGAACTAAAAGCTTGTAACTATAGGTGCCACGAGAGGACCCAGGCTTAGGACATAGGTGATGTTCTGAATAGCAGAATGGAGAGATGAAGAAAAAATAAAATCAGAATCCTCATTGACCGTGTTGAGCTGGCAAATCCACACTCTGAACTTTTATTGTTACTGGACTTCTTGTTCTGAAAGCTAATAATTTTCCTTACTATTTAATCTAGTTTGGTTTTGCTCATCTGAAACTCAAAGTCATCTGCATCCTACATGATGCTTGATTTTTTTTTTTTTTTTTTTTTTGACCTTCAGTAGAGACTTGCATCACTTTTAGTGACTGTACACCTTGGGTCTCCTCTCCTTTATCTGTGAAGTGAATGTAATTCAGTCTCACCAAGTTTTTATGAAGATCATTTGAAATCCAGAACAAAGCCTAAGGAAGGACATATGAACTAATACATGATGAATGTCTACTGTGCACCATGAAATAGGCTGGTTCTTGGCTCTAGGAAGCTTAGAGCTAGAAGAGAAATTCACAGATAATTTTCATATTAAAGGATATAAATAAGGCCACATGCCCAGCTTTGTATAATTTTTTTCCAGCTTTGTATAATTAAAGATTATTCAGTATCTGAATACTTATGGTTTCAGGCACCATGATCTAACATGGTGGGGGCATGGGGATGAGGAAGGGGATTAAGGGAAGGCATATCTGAAGGAGTGTTCTTTAAGCCAAAACCTGACAAAGCAGTAGGAGTTAGGTGAGGAATGGGGAGAACATTTTAGGCAAAGAAACATGACACAAAATCCAGAAAGTGTGAAAGAACTCAATGCGTTCAAGTAGTAGGAAGTGTGAAGAGGAAGTGTGTGGTCAGAGTGAATGAGGGATAACGTGGGTGATGAAATTGGATAGGTAGAAAGGGGACAGATAATGCAGGGCCTTGTTGGCCATGCTAAAGCTTTTTGAACGATGTAAGTATAAAATGAAGCCATTAGAAAGTTCTAAGCTGAAGCATCTCATGATCTGACCTGTACTTTTTTTTTTTTTTTTTTTTTTTTTAATGGAGTTTGGGAGCTACAGTGAGGAAGAGCAGTTGGGCCAGTCAGCAGTGCGGATGAGAGACGTGGGTGGCTCAGACCAGGGTGATGGCAGTGCAGATGGAGCCATGAGGATGGATTGGAGCAGCACTGTGGGTGTAGAGCTTGCTGGACCTGGCGATAGATGGAAGGGACGTAGTGAATCGTGGGGAGAGCCTTGCCAAGGATGACTCTTCAGTGCCTGTGTTACTGGAGAGGACTGGAAAAGGCATTTTTGGGGAGAGTGATAGAAAAACCAAGAATTGATTTTGAACACGTTAAATTTGATATATCGGCGATACACTGGAATTGGGATATTGAGTTCCAGGTTTCGCCTACGTCTGAAGCTCCTAACGGGTCTATCCGGGCTGCAGTTAAAATTTGGATGTCACCAGCAGATTGATTGTTGGAGTGTGGGAGTGGATGGTTCCTGTTAAGGAGAGCATGGCGAGCAGGGAGGCAACCCCTGCCTCACTTCTGGGAAGCCTGCCCTCGTCTCTCAGGTGTCACAGACTCTCTCAGAAGCCAGGTAGGAGGAGGAAATCCTGACCTGAATGGGGGTGATGAGTTGAGAGAAGAATTATAGACCTGCAGCAGTTGCTAAAAGGGAAGAATGCCGAGAAAGGGGAGATAGTGAAGATACTGAGTAAAAGGTTATCAGTGAGGTAGAGACCCAAGTGGGGTGGGAGGAGGGAAGGTTCTGGCCTTGAGTCCTCTGAGGCTAAAGGGAAGGGGGTAATGAGTTTAATCTTGAAGGGGTGAGGTCCCAGGGAGGTGAAGTAATTTACTACCAGAAACCTCAATGCACAAACACACATATGTTGTGTGTGCATGAAGATACACACCCAGTCTACACACCCCTGGTGGTTCATGGACGTCATCTAAGGGGAAATATATGGGTCCCATAACATTCACTGCTATTTTGTTGATGATACTGGGTACATTGGAGGGGCTCAGTAAGTATTTGTTGAATGAATAAATATGTTCAGAAATGGGCTGTAGATTTTATTTGGGGAGGTATCCATGTCTGAGAACGTGGAGAAGTAAGACAGGAAAAGTTGAAGCCACTAGGCTAGACTCCTAGGAGCCCTCCACTTGGGTCTTTCCTTCTCTTTAAATGTAACAATAATAATGGTTTCAAAATCACTTGTTCTTTTGTCTTTTATCGGCCTCTTCTATTGGACCATGAGATCTTTGAAGGGAACACATCTGTCATACATAAAAACATGTTTCTGGGATCTAACCCAGGGACGGCACATAGTAAGTGCTCAGCAAATAGTTGTACAGTGAATGCAAGAGGGTGCACTTGAGCAAATGCTTGCAGCGATTCAGAGGGGGAGGGAAGGAGTGCTCTTCCAGATGGAGGCAGAGACAAGAAGCTAAGTTGCAGGGGTTGAACTATTTGTGCTTGTGTGGGAGGCTGTAACAACCTTGCCTGATTTGCTATTCTCATCTGTCCTGTGGGAATTAGTAACTTGCTCAAGGTCAAACAACTTGGAAATGATGGTATCTGGGTTTGTACTTGAGTTGTTCTGACTTGAGAGCTCAGGGTTCCCTCCATGCCATGTTCCCTGCTCCCCAGATTAGTTCCCATGTTATTCCACCACCTCTAAATTTGCTGCTGCCTTGTTTCTTCCCATGTAGGCCGGATGAAATACTCTGTCATGGACACCTTCTTTGTGGGACTTGTATGGAGTTGAATTTTTTCCTCTCTCCTAGCTCTCCACTGTGGCTTGAATCCGCGGGGTATTGATCACTCTGCCCGGGCTGAAGGCATTAAACTGCAAATTGAAGGGGAAGGTGTTGAATCTCAGTCCATTAAAAACAAAAATTTTCAGAAGGTGCTTGACCAAAAAGGAACCCCCAAGCGACTGCCAACAGAAGCTGAGACGGCTAAGGTAGGTACTAAATTAGGGAGATTCTGAAGTTAAAATTTTGATATTTTGTGGTCCAGCCACAGAGAACTGATGGCACTTTTTCACTACTCACTGTTGTATCTTCAGTTAAATGAACCCTGACTGCTGCTTGGTTCTAAGCAATAACAAACAAAAATGTTGACTGCATCTGCTTTGGAGTGAAACTAAAACACGTTTGGGGGCCATGTCATGTCATGAGGCTGAGTGTGGTATAGAATAGCCTATCAAGAAGGATGCGTTGGACTCAAAGGTGAAAGATTTGTTTGCCAAGCTCAGATTTATCATTTTATGATATGAGGCATGTCATGTGACTATCCAGGCCTCAGATTCCTCTTCTGTAGAGATCATAAAAACTACCTCCACCATTGAGGTGAACAGATAAAATAATACCATTCATTGGCAGGATTTTGTAAAAAGGGCCAGTGCCACGTGTATGAGGGACTTTTGCTGACAAGCACACTTAATTAGTGATGTTTTATTAAATATATGCATGTATTCCAGGTACGGTTTCAAAGACTCTCAATGTACTGGCCTGTTGTGTCCCTGTAACAATTCTGTGAGTAGACGATATAAACAGGACTCTAATTAATGAATGATCTAACCATTTCTTTTGTTTTAGGATCCTTAGTTCTTTTAAGTCTTAGTTGTAGGCACATAACACTCCAGTAAGAAGGGACTGGGTGAGGGAGATGATTCTTTAGCAAGGACAACCTGTTCTAGGGTTCTTCACAATGGAACTGGCAATAGATGGATTTTTATCTGAAATCAGTGAAGATGCTCATGTTTGGGGCACAGTTGAAGACATTCATATTAGCTGGCCCCTTGGAAATTGAAGGAACTTGTCTTCATATGGTATTTGGTTTCTCCCTTGTGCATTCTCTGCAAAGGATTTTCCTTTCAAATGTCTGTAGGAGTGAATCTGTGTGTGCCTTGGAAAGCAAGGATTACGATCACCCAAGAAAAGCTTGAAGTAGACAGGTGACTTTGCTGTCCTACAATAACCAACTCCCTCCCTGCTCCAAATGTCTTCCAAAATCAAATATGATTTTTTTTACCCACAATTTTGAATAATTACATTGTTGCTTCCCTTCTTTAGTGTGGATAATTAAAACTAGTGACATGAAGTACATGCTTGTGTATGTTATAAAGCATGGGAAATGAGTTGCAAGGATATTGCAGATATTTTGCACTGAGCATTTTAGTGGAGAGAAATTGCATCTCATAGGTAATCAGTTGATGGTTGAAGTTTGGTTTCTGAGCAGAGTTGGAAATAAAGTGAGCCCTGCTATATCCTGTTATATTTAAACCTCCTCAATCTCTGATGCTACACAGGCATCTTGAAAGACAAGGGGGAATAAAAGTATTAAGGATCTTTAGGAAGATAAATACCTTGACTAGGATCTTTTCAAAAGGATGCTTAACATATTAAAAGTTAGAGTAAAGAAAAACTATTACTTGTCTGATTTTAATTCAACATTAAACATTTCCAGATTATCTCTTATTTGAAAACACATCGGTAATATAAATTTTTATTTAAATCTGACATGATGTGATAACTTGTGAGTTATTTGGAATATGTGCTACTGTATTAATTCCTGAATCTCACGTTGGTAGCATTTGCCTTCTCTAGATCACTTTGTTTGCTTTGCTAAAGACGTACTTCATTGAGAATGTAGTAGTCCATAATGGGCCTTCAGGAGTAGACTGGACCACATATTAGAGACCAGATTCATTTGAATTATCCAGCTTATCTACAGTGAAAAGGGGTTAAGGAGATTGAGTGTTTTCATATTGAAATCATATTTAGGAATGAATGACCAGAGGCTTTAGTAAAGCTTGGAAAAAGTTTTTATTCCTTTTTTCATGGAGGACCCGATGACAGCGGTGGTTGCTGCAGGGGGTGGGGGTAGAGGACGGAATTAAAAATGAGTGTGATTGCTACAGACCTGCAGTGTTACCTGCACTGAACCTTCTGTGCCACAATGTGAACTTGTTTGGGGTCATGTACAAACACATTTCAGTGTTTCTGTTGCCTTGAGAGGGTTATTAGAGTTGTGGGTTTCCTTTCTTTCTTGGACAAATAATCGAATCTCCGGTAACTTGACCTACTCTAAACTTAAAAACAAAATCCTCAAAAACCTCTGGCTAGAAATGTGTGCATTTAAAGCTACTTAGTTGTATAAATTGGTACACTTTTTCTGGAGGACAGTATGATAGTAGTTATTGAAATTTTAAATATGTGTGATTTTTTTTTCAAGAATTTCCCTCTCTAGGAACTTGTCTTAAGAAATAATCATCCAGGGATCCCTGGGTGGCACAGTGGTTTGGCGCCTGCCTTTGGCCCAGGGCGCGATCCTGGAGACCCGGGATCGAATCCCACGTCGGGCTCCCGGTGCATGGAGCCTGCTTCTCCCTCTGCCTGTGTCTCTGCCTCTCTCTCTCTCTCTCTCTCTCTCTCTCTCTCTCTCTGTGACTATCATAAATAAATAAAAATAAATAAGTAAAAAAAAAAAAAACTTAAAAAAAAAAAAAGAAATAATCATTCAGATATCTAAAAATGACTGGAGGATGGTGGTCACTCTGGCATGGTTTATAATATGAAAATGTTGGGAAGAGCCCAAATGTCCACTCCTGGGTTGCTGGCTAGAGGAACTATGTCCATGCAATGAAATAGAATCCTCCCTTTATAAGGTAAAAGAGACCTATGTATTTATCTTAGTCTGTTCAAGTTCTTATAACAAAAAGGCTAGGTGGCTTATAAACAGTAGAATTTTTTTTTTTATTTTTTGAAAGATTTTACTTTATTTGAGAGAGAGTGCATGTGTAAGCAGGGGGAGCAGTTAGAGGAAGAGGAAGAAGCAGGCTCCCCACTGAGCAGGGAGCCCATGGGATGTGGGGCTTGATTCAAGGACCCTAGGATCATGACCTGAGCCAAAGGCAGACACTTAACTGACTGAGCCACTCAGGCACCCCTAAACTATAGAGATTTATTTCTCACAGTTCTGGAGTCTGGGAAGTTCAAGATCAAAGTGCTGCCAGATTCAGTATCTGATGAGGGACTGTCTCCTGTTCTTAAATGGCCATCATGTCGCTGTGTTACGTGGTGTAACGGGACAAGGGTGCTCTCTAGAGTCTCCTTTAGAGCACTGATTCCATTCATGAGGGCTCCAGCCTCATAACCTATGAAAGGCTCCACCTCTATCACATTAGAGGTCAACTAGCAGAACATTCAATATCTAGCAGTATTTTAGTGGGAACATTAGTGTGATGATATTTTAAAGCGAGAGAGGGGAGAAGGGCACAGTGTATATAGCATGTTCTCATTTATGTAAAAAGGTCTTTTGTATAGAAGTATCACTGAGTCTGGAAAAGTTAATCCACAATTTGAACAGTGTTTCAAATCTGGAGTTGAGATTATGGGGAAAATGTTCACTTCTTTTCTGAGGTTTTTGGTTGTCTTTTTGTTTGTTTTTAAGTGTATAGACTTCAAATCCTTTTTCAGATTGCCCTGTTAACTTGAGTAGCTCAACTGTGACTTTTGCTGTTTGAGTCGATATTGGGCCTTAAAAGGTGCTGTATTTCCTCCCAGGGCTTCCCATTGTTGCTAGTAAGTTATTCACCAAGGGAGTGCGTTTTCTTGGAGACTTTTTGCCTTCATGTGCCTTCAGTTGTGGAGACCATTTTGTGAGGTGCTTTTGTGTTTGCCTCTTTTTGAACTTTCTGGGATGTAACAGCTCTGACCAAGAGTTATGTTACAGTTCCATTTGACTTTCCCTTTGCTACTGATTATGCAAATCAAGGTTCTCCCACAGCATCCCATATGCACTTTCCTGTTTGCAGGCTTCACATAGGGCACCTGGTTCTGGTTCCCCATCCCCATCATGCCTGTGGCCTTGCCACTTTGAGTCCAGCCATGTTGTGTTTTGAACATCACCTGTTCTAGATCCCCAGCAGGCATAGTGAGCTTCCTGAATCTTGACTGCTGTGGTTTTCTGACATCTGTGATTTCAAGTTTGACTTTATATCAACTTAAAAATGTACTTTCTAGTACCTTTAAGTTTCTAGAGCCTGAGGAAGGGGAGATTATAGCATGAACTTTCAACACACCATCTTGACTCTGAAATTTGTATTGCTTTCATAATCTAAAAATATATATATCTTTCTCTCTAATCTCCATTTTTGGAAAAATTCTTTTTTTCTTTTTCTTCCCTTAGAATGTAATTTTAGAGCCTTTGACTCTAATCCTCAAAGACTAGAACTCTAGTTCCAGAAAGAGGTGGTCTGTGCCAGGAGATTCCCATAGCTCTTACAGACCAAAGAGAAACCAGTGGAGAACCAATCTCACTCTTAATTAAGCTTTATTACTGGGCAGCATCAAGTCTAGTTGGGGGGAAAAAAAAAAAGGAGCCAACTGAAATGTGGATCTGCCAAAGATATTTACCGATGTAAATTCTAAATGCTTCTGAACACTTGGGACTCAGGAGAGTGTACACATGCATACCAGAGCTATAGTTATAAGTTTAAGATAAAAAACAAAAATCAGAAAGCCAAAAAATACCCCAAACCTATGTTAACTATTAACTTAGTTTTACAGTTGGATACAGGACAAGAGATAGGTATGGCATTTTCATCTCCTAGGGAAGTGCAGAAATTATAAAGGTACATGGCTGCTTTTGTCTGCTTCCTCATAGAGGGGTATGTACAATTGTGACAAAGGAGAGCCATGGTGGTCCTTTTAACACAGAGAGGGTATGGCCTCTTTCCCATTGATTTATTCTTTTTACCATTGTAGTCATCGAGGCCCAAGACCAACTCCTAGTCCTACAGACCAGGTGTAGTTCCACAGAGCACCTTCCAAGGAAATAGTCCTATGAGAGACTGAGGTCCTTCATGATAGGCCCACACCCAAGGTTTATTAACCCATTTTTCACAAGAAGTTAGGGACAGGGCATCCAGGGAGTAGGCACCAGCGGAACAGAACC